ACCGGTAACTTTTTAAGGAAAAACCGTAGTCCGGGAAAAAAGTTACCGAAGGTTTAAAAGGTCCGGTAAGTTTTAGGAAACGTTTAACGAACGTTAACCTTGGAAAACGGTTAGGAAAAATTTACCGTTTACGCGTAACGAGTTACCCCAAAGTACTAACGAAATAAAAACGTTGTAAAGGACGGGGAATCGAACTTTGACCAGTACCCGTTTTAACTGGTGTAAAGAGTCGAAATCTATTCAGAGTACTAAATTTGTATAGCTTGCAGTATACTAGTGATTCGATGTATCTTGTTTAGTTATTCAGTTTTCACTTTATATATGAATGTGAGTGTTTACTGTTCCATCAGACGTGATACTTTTTGCTGATCGAGCTATGTAGTAGGAATTTTGGCTATGGAACCTGTAACCACAATCGCTGCTTTATGTGTCATTGGATTTACGCAGATGAAATAGAAGCATCAGGTTATTTAAAGTCCATATCAACAATCACTTCTTAGACAAGTTCTGATATGACAGCTCTTTCTAGAGCAAGAATGAGTGACAGGCACCAGGATGGCTTTCTTATTGAATTTTCTCTTCTTGGCCTGCTTACTCGTCCTATATCCTTTTCCTCTCTTAGGTTATAGAGACGTATTTGCATAGTATTGTCTTAGTGCCCTTTCACTTATTTGTTGCCTCTTACGATGCTGTTATTACCTTTCTGGCTTCTTTTGTTGTTACAAACCTTTTCCTTTGTTTCTTTTCTGATATTATTGTTTCTTCTGTTGAGCCGAGGGTCTCCCGGAAACAGCCTCTCTACCCTTCCGGGGTATGGGTAAGGTCTGCGTACACTCTACCCTCCCCAGACCCCACTAGTGGGATTTTACTAGGTATTTTGTTGTTGTAGGGTGATAGAGACATATATGCTTTTGGAATATATCGAAATTAGCGCCATTAGTCGTGAATTGTGTATGTTGAAGAGAACTAGAACATAACGCACATTATCATGTTTTATCTCCATTTTTGAGTCGGCTGATGTGCCTACGACAATATTACCTGTTCTTTGCTATGCCTAGTTTTTGCTCATGTAGTCTTAATTTTCTCCCAGAGAGTGAAAGATGAAGTGCTAAAAAGGAGGTTGCAGTGTTCTGGGTCCCATGAGAAAAAGGAAGATGGACCAAAGAGGCTGAAGCCATCAGATCATGAAGAATTCCAAGCAGCTCTAAATGCAGCCAAAATGGTAGCAGCACAATCTATCAAGGAATGTAAGTGGGACTTGCATAGTTCTCCAGGAGCATTGGAACAGCCGATTCGCAACGGTCAGCAGAGATTACTACTTAATCCTGTTTGTGAAGAACCGATTAATTCAGTTGACAGTAAACCTTGAATGAAGAGTGTGGGGTTGTTCCACACTCTGAATATTTTGTTAGTTCTGAATAAAGAGAGGTCAAGCATGATGTTCTCTCTACTGGGCGTTGGTTTTGCGTTTTTGTAATAGCAGAATTAGCTTACCAAATTCAGGGGCAGATTGTTTTTAACTCTTTACAAGAGTAGATGAAATGTGAAGCTCGGCAAAAGGCAGAAATCTAAATAAAGAAGCTATAATTCTCAAGGAAAAGCGCAAAATAAATGATGAAAATATTTAGAATGTGCAAAGAATATTTACACAATCCATTCAATTTAATTGCCTATAACTCGTTATTTGTCTATTTTTTCAAGTTATAACATGCTTGCAATGAACTACGTATACAAACAGAACTTGTTGCCTTTCTAATAGAAAGTTTCTATCTTGTTTAGTGTAAAAAAATAAAAGGTATTTAGAATCTATTACTCGTATTTACACGATCTATTAAGCTTACATTACACTAGGCACAAAAAATTGATTCTTTTATTTATTTATTCATTTATATAGAATTACCTTATATAAGCCGACAATGTAAATAAATGTACACCATCTTTTTTAACTATTATAGCAATTTATCTATCTTATCATTAGAGCCGTGAATATGGGCTTGGCCCGTCAGCCCAGCCCAACCCAGCCCATAATTTAGCAGGATTATGGTAGAATTTTTGGAGCCCATTTAAAAACGAGGCTTTTAAGCCCGGCTCAAGTAAGCCTGTGGCCCGTGAGGCTTGATTGAAGCTTGGCTGGACCAGCCCATGGGCTTAATAAAAATATTAATTTAAAATTTATAAAATATAAAAAGAATACTGCCTCTAGCGATGGAAAGTCAGAAATGAATCTTTACTTAGAGGAACCAAAGCTTGATCTTAAGAGATGGATGTTGTCAACGTATTGAAAGGACCACTCTAGAAAATATCTCGATCTTTTGGTGATGGCGCGTGATGTACTTAGTATTCCTATTACCCCTGTAGCATCGGAACCAACATTTAGCATTAGTGGGCATATTCTTACAAAGTATAAAAGTTGCATCCATCATGAAAATGTCCAAACACTTGTTACTACTCGAAATTGGCTGCACAACGTTTCCCAAACTCAAACTAGTAATATTTTTTATCTGAATTTTAACATTATTAGTTTTTAAAATTTGATCATTCTTAATATTTAACTAATTAATATTGAATATGAATTGTAGATGTAGATGAAAATGAAGATGTTAAGACAGTCTTGTCACAAGAGGATTCAAATGTATTTGATGAAGATAATGTATTGGATATCCCATAAGTGTCATGGATGTTCTCTTGAATAGTTTGTTTTGAGTTTTGACTTTTAGTGAATGAAATATAGTCTTGTCTTTTATATTTTTAGTGTTTATTGTGATATATTCGAACAGTATAAAAAGTTACTAAGTTTTACGAAATGTTTGCAGTTAGATATTTTTTAACTTTTAAATAATTATATTTTTTTAGGTTAGAACATAAAGAACAAATAAAAAAACTATATTTTAAAAAATAAAGGGTCAGCCCGTGGGGGCCCGCGGCCCACATAGGGCTGGGGTGGACTGGCCACTATAAGGCCCATCAAAATAGTGTGCTAGCCTAGTCCAACCCGTCAATTGCTAAAGCCTACGTAGGCTGGGCTGGGCTAACCCGACCCGGCCCTTATTGACAGCTCTACTTATTATTTTTAGGTACTCAGTGTTCACTTATTATGAATTGTTAGTTATAATTATCTTCTAGCTTGCATAGAAATAAAAAAAAATAAAGAAAGATGTACGGATTCGCGGTTTTAATTTTATACTTGAGAAAAGGGTTAAAAATGTCCTAGGCTATTGAAAAATTTAAAATACCCTTCATCCATATATTGGGCTAAAAATACATCTCCATCTACCTTTTTGGTGCACTTATACCCTTTGACCGTTAGATCAATGCTAAATTAAAAATAATTATCATTTAAATTTCACGTGGCAACTTTTTATTGGCTAAAATTAAAACATCTAACCCATTAGAAAGACTCACCCATATCTACCTGTTTTTTATAGTAACCCGCTTCAAACACTAACCCGACCCGAATAAAAAGTTCAACTAAAAAAAAAAAAAAGAGGCCCCACTTCTATCAATCTCCATGGAACAAAAGCTCCGTGGAAGTTGCAGCGAAATATAGACGCAAATTTACTACGTGATTTTCTTTCACTTGTTATTGCATCCAGTTCAATTTACATGATAGACACAAACTGCATTATATTCAAAATAATTTTAATTTAATCATTTTCACATAGATCTCAAAGTGATTGTTTGGAAGATATCATAAACCATTGGACTACCCCTAGTTTTCCGTCCCACATTATTGCCAAGAAAATCATTGGCTCATTCATGCTAGGCTTTTCTTGTTTGTTTAATTTGTCCATGAACCTTTATTCGATGATAATGCTATACATGAGTCATGAGATTAATCAAGAAGTGAACACATGCAAATCCATGGGTTAGATGGAAGTGAGACATCTTTTTTCTTTGAACTTTTTATTCGGGTCAGGTTAGTGTTTGAGACGGGTTAGTCTGAAAAACGGGTAGATATGGGTGGGTCTTTCTAATAGGTTAGATGTTTTAGTTTCGACCAATAAGAAGTTGCCAGTGGAATTTAGTTAATTATTTTTTAAATTCAGTATTGAGTTAGGTCAAAGGGCATAAGTGAACCAAAATGGTGGATAGAGGGTTATTTTTAGCCCATTAAATAAATGAAGAATAATTTTAAACCCTTTTCAATAATTTAGGGACATTTTTGACCCTTCTCCGTTTATACTATTGAAATTTGATTGAATCTCGTTTATGTGTCCAAAATTTAATTCAACCGAAATATTCACATAAGATGAGACAAATGTAGTACTAGAGTCTAGAATACGACATTTCGCTCCTAAAAGAACCCGGGGGGAGAGTAGAAGGCACAGATTACGATTGACGACACATCTGAATCGTCCTCAGCGGTCATGGACGCTACCTCCCAAACCCTAACGAAGCTTTCCGACATCAGTAAGCACCGATTAAATGTCGACGAATTTAACGACGTAAAAGAGCAAGAGTATGACACGGAGGCTTGGGAAACACTTTCCAAGTGTTTCCGAGAGGTTCAATCTGTTCTAGATCGGAATCGAATTCTTATTCAACAGGTGAACGAAAATCATCAATCGATGCTTCCATATAATCTGGTGAAGAACGTAGCTCTTATTCGAGATATTAATCATAATATCTCCAAAATTTCCTGCCTTTACTCTGATCTCTCTGTAAATTTCTGCAATATCGTACATCAGCGACGAGCACTGGATTCGATGGAATCTAAGAATTACAACGGCAAAGCGGAGAGGCGCTGAATCCTGAATCAATTTGTTTGACGAATCCGAACTCAGTAATCTCGATTACTCTTTGTTTTCCCTACTAGTTACTACTATAAGATTTAGTGTATATGTCAAGTGCTATGATCATTACTTCATAAATAAGAGTTGTATGTGTTGACTCAGTATTTTGATGGATTTTGTTTGTGGACGGGTGCTGTTTTAAATTAGTACTTCTTGTGATATTTGTTTACCCTCATAATCGGATAACAATTTAATTGATAAGTGGTTTTAAGGATACGTAGATTAATTTGACACAAAACGATAGATTGGATTATAAATAAAGCAAACAATAATAAAGTGATTCAAACCGTGTGACTCGAACAATTATAGCCTTGAGAAAATAGACCTCACTTGAACTGAATATGATTCAAATGATGTCAAATATAGAAGCACATTAGCTTGCAGAAAGAAAAAAATATTATAAAACTTTTGGATGCGTGTTACAATGTGTGTTACAAAGAATCAAACTCCCCTTTTTTATATAGTAAGGGATTCCTGCTTTAGGTACAATTCTGTAAAAGGTATGAAATCGCACGATTTGCTAATTAATCGGTCTCTCGTTGATGCATACCGAGATTCCCGCCGTGATATCCGACCAGTTGCGGATATTTCGGCCTTCCGTTATTAGGTCCGATAATGTTTCCTCGAGCTTATTCGGAATCAGGGTCGGTTCCGGAGTCATGGGCTCGAAGATCTTGGGGACGTATGTTCTGACTTCGTACTTTGGTTCGATGAACCTGGGGTCGATCTTCAATCCATCACGTTTCAGTTCCGATTCGCACGCAATAGATGAGCCCGGTTTCGACCGTATAAGATAGTTCCCTCGTTTTTCGGAGTGTAAACAACGAGAAACGATATGAGCCCCTGATCCTGTCCTCGATACTTTGCGCCAGAAACGACAAAAATAGACGAAACATCTCGTCAATCACATCTTAATGGCATTAAATGTTCGTCAGTCGCTGCTCGGCCACTACAAACTCTTAACCATCGTTTGAATGCTATATATACTCCATCTTTCATTCATTCAAACTTTACGTTTAAACCTCTTATACTCTTGTTCTTAAAAAACCTTTGCATTCTCTAACACTTGTACCAGATTTCTTGAGGCTTTTGCAAGAATTTTCGCTTGTTTTCGGTCCAAAATATTAAGCGTAACCTTTTAACTTCCGCTTCTTCATCTCTATTCAAAAGAAAAATGGCAAAAACTTCTAAGACAGTTCCACAAAAAGAGATTGCCTCTTCATCACGGCCTGCCGGCGAGGAACCAACGGCGGAAACTCACCTTGAAGTGTTTGTTCCTGGTGGGTGCTTGACCGGTGCTGATTTCAAGGTCGAAAAAACTTCTTCGGTACCGGGTTGATGTGTACCAGTCTCGAGATATATATGCTCGATCACCGATGATCTCCTCTCCAAGGTCAAAGAGGAATGCAACTGGCCTGATAAACACGTGGTGGTGCCTTCTCCTGAGAAAGCGATTACTACCCACGTGGAGGGTTTTTTTAAGTGTTTACACTTATCCCTTCACGCTGGGCCCCTTGGACCCGGTCATCATCGCTTGTTGTAAGAGGTACGAGGTGACCCAGGTCAAATCCATCCCTCTTTTTGGAGGATAGTAATTCTCCTCCGCTTCTTTGTAAACAAAATTGAGGGGCGTCCCTTCACCCTCAATCATCTCATGCGTCTGTACAGTCCACGACTCTATGAGGGGGATTAATAAAACTTGCTCGTCGGGCCAGTAAGGCCCCATTCTCGAGTATAGACGAGGATCGAGACCGAGGCAGGTTGGGCCGATTCGTTCAAGTGAAGACCTCGGATTTAATCTCGGCCGAGGACATGCCATTTCCCGAGAAATAGAACATGAAACGTAAGTATAGCCTTGCCTAAAAGATTTCGTTTATTGTTTTTCCTTTTTCCTTCCTTCTTATCGACGTTTTGTGGTGTAGCTGTTGCTCGGATGCCGGATGCAGTTCCTCGACTCAAGGAGTCAGTCGAGGGCCTCGTGTCACAGAAACCCTATACCGAGCACGCGTGGTGGGAACTGTCGAAGGGCCGGTGCGAGGCCCGTTCCCATGGTAAGTTTCCTTTCCAAGTTAATAATATTTAATTTTTCCCTCATGCCGTTGAGTTCTTATCCGTTCCGTTTTCTTTTGCAGGTATTCCCAAGGATGTTTCTATGAGGCCTCCATCCGGTGATGAGGATGTGCCTGTCGAGTCTCCTGCTTCGAGGCAGGGTGAGAAGAAAAGGAAAAGGGCCCCGAGTTCTTCAAGCTCGGAAAAGAAGAAAACAAAAAGAAGTATGGTGCGTAAACCTAAGGGTAGCACCAGTGGTCGGGCTCCCTGTTCGGACTAACTCCACCGGCTCAGGGATGAGTCAGAAGAAGAAGAAGAAAACTCCGAACTGGTGGCCCGTGTGCGGTCATGTGTCGTGATGCGAGGGGCCTCCGAACCGGCGGGAGCTGAAACTGAATTGTCTCGACTCGGGGAGGTCGATGAGGGAGCTTTAGCCGAAGCTTCTGACCCAGAAGGGGGCGAGGCTACTTTGCCTCGAGATAGGGAGCCCGCTATTGAGATCGTAGCCGGTTCTTCCCGGGCAGCAGATAGTGCTCCGAAGGGCATACCCGGAGTGCTAGACCTTCTGGTTCGCCATTATTTACTGAGTCTATGATTGCCGATGCTCAGGCGCTGAAAGAACGATCCAACGAAGAGCCACAAGGGGCGATAGATCCCTTTAATACTTCTTTAACGGCGTAGACTCCACCGCTACGGAGGACGTCACCTGGTTGAGTGACATACTGGTGCCGAAGAAGAGTCTATCGATTGGACCTTCATCGATCCCGAAATTAGTCAACCGGTTCCCAGCCCCGAGTTTGAATCCTGACCGGAAGAGGTCAATCGTTATGTCCATTCCAGAAAATGCCCGGGTTCTTTCTGCCCCCGTGGGGGTGGCCAGTTACCTTCAGTGCTTGGTGACCGAGGAGGATCAAGCCAATATGAACGAGGTGGAAGTGCCTTGTTTGTTCAACGAAGTCCAACAGACATTAAATCGGGTAACCTCAGATACCTTTTAATAATTTCTAGTGTGTACTTAGATTATTTTGTAGATGATCGTAACTCCTCTCTCTGTGTTTGTAGGATTCAGTACTCCACCATGAGACGTTCCTCCGATACCGGGAAGAACTGAACCAGTACGAGGCCGAGATTCCAGGGCTCACTGTGAAAAGAGATGCTTACAAACTTCTTAGTGAGCAAAGAGAAGGGGAGGCTCAGGGCCTCCAGGCTGAGTTAGAGGTAGCTCGGAAAGAGCATGCCGACCTGGCTGAGCAGGTAAGAAGAATTTTTAAAGTTAGTGATGACGAACCGGACTTGATGACTAACGGTCCAAACCTGCTGGTCCAATAGAAGATCGACAAGATCGGGCAACTCCGGGAAGAGGTAAATGCGGTAAAGGCTGAGGCCGAAGAATGGAAAACGAACATGGATCGCCAAGCCTCAGAAAAGGAGACTGCCCGGGCCCAACTAGCTTTGGCTGAAGTCCAGCTCCGAGGTATAAAGGAGAAATCCTTGGCGCAGACCAAGAAGATCGAGGAGCTCCAGTCCTAGTTGAATTCGACCATCTCTGATCGAGAAAGTCTGGCCACAGAGCTTGAAGTGGCCAAGTCGAAGGCCAAATTAATTAAGGCCAATGCCGATGAGATGGTGGCCGTTTATAAGGCCGATGCCGAGGCGGCCCAGGTTCGAGCAATAGACATCACCGAGCATGCTAAATGGAAATCTCGAAGGGAGGCCCTCGAGGAAATCCATGCTCGGAGTTTCGATCTATCAGCTGAGATCGAGAACGCCAAGGAGCTCGAAGTTGAGGCTAAAAGGTTAACTTATCCCGAGGATGATAATGACTCCGAGGGTTTAAGCGAGTCCGAAGGCGGGGAAGATCCCGAGGGTGAAGATGCTGCCCTCGATGACGACCAGGCCACTTAGGCCTTTAGATTTTTTTTGTTTTTTTTTCATTTTTGTTGAGGCCATTCGGCCTTTGTAAAAAATTTTCATCAGCCAGTTTGGCCCTGTAAAAAGAATTTTGTATCAATATATAAGGCTTTCTTTCCCTTTCACGGCTTTCGAATTTTTCCCTTTGCTTTATTATTGATTTTCACAAAGATCGAAATGCCTTAGCATGGAATAATCAAGTTATGTTCAAAGGCTTAAACAAACTTTGCCTTTACATTATTCTGTTTTAAGGCATTTTTGGGTTTCGGTGTTATCGGAAACTTCCTCCCAAAGAAAGTAGGTGAGATTATAGTTCGCCGAGGGTCGCCTTTAGAACCGGTTATGAAAATTTTCTTTTTGAAGGCGTTGTTTTTACTACGGGTCTCGGACGTCTCTGAGCCGTGTTAATATGGCCGTAGCCTTTTAGTTCGGGTGTCGCCCAGTGGGCTTGCTTTCCCGAGTTATCCAGGCTTGCCTAAGATAACAGTCCCCGAGTGGGGTGGCCGTGGCCTTTAAAATTCGGGGGTTGCCTAATAGGTCTTATGCCCCCGATGTCTAATAGCTTCAACCGTTCGAGTTTGTTTTCGGATAGCAGTCCCTGAGTGAGAGAGTGATTGTTCAACCTCAGGTTAAAGCGTCCCTTTGGCTCGTTATCTTTAGGGGATTGGAAGCAGGGAATTACTAAGAAATGTAAAAAAGAAATTTTTTAAAAGGCAAGATGAATGCAAGGAAGATACTTCTCTTTATTCTTGTGTAAAATAGTTATACATGCGTATATGCTTTATGCTAGGGATCGAGTAATCTATGCTGGCACGGTTCGTTTGACCGTTTGGACCTTACAATAAATCCTACCTATCGAGACCCTTCCATCACGAAGTAATTTCCTTGCTAAAGTCGATATCCAAGGGTAATTCCCCCCCCCCCCCCCAGTATTCGAGGTTGATCATAGAAAGAATCCTCGGATACTGTTGATGTGATCCTTAACACCGATTAAT